AAATTGGACTTCTGCACATAGGTTAATGCATGTAATATGCACATTAAGCAGCTGACAACATTATTGTGTAGTGATTGCATCTTTTAAATAAAGTGGTGAATATGGTGCTTATTAGTAAATTCAAGAGATAGAAGACAAGTGCAAATGGAGGTGATATCTAAAATCTGAATATCCTTCAAAGTTTCACTTCAAGAACTTGAAACTGCTTTTTAAGCAGTGAATCAGGTAGTAGGCCAAGGATGTCAAACTTGCGGCCCACAACAAATATTTTTGCGGCCCTGCCAATATATGGGCAAATAATAATATATAATAATAAAATAACATATCGACGAAGAAAAAAATGAAATGTTTACTGCCAAGTAATTAACGATAATTTATTCAGTGTTGTTAGATTACTCACAGCGAGCTGACACACACACTACTTAAATTACAAATGCGTGTGAGTAGCTTGTGTTCAGCTACCTTCGGCTTTTGGGGGACACGTGAACTCAGAACTTATACGCATCCCCCGATAGCCGAATGTGGCCAAACTCATGGTCTCAGTTTTCCAATCATAGTTTTGTATGATACATTGCTTTATTATTAATTATTACTTAATTCATATTGTTACGAATTTCATAGTTATTTATTTATTTAGTTTTTTTTATTTAGAATTGTAATTAGATTTGCTTCATGTTGCCTTAGCAACGCAGACGATTTTTGAAAAGACAGCTGCGTTGGAAGGTTAAAAATAGAACAGCGCGTGCATTTAATACCTAATAAATAAATATCTCGTAATTGCTGTTGCCATCCACAAAAATCCAGATATTTATAGATGTTTCCAGTATATTTGAGAAATTAATTATAAAGCTTATAAAAGCCGAGAACAAACAATTCATCTCAGCAGTAGCTGTAGTTCTAGCGAACTGTTTGTTTACTTAATGCTGTGATTGATTTGTAGCGATTTCGCTGTGAGATAGAATTAGTTTCTCTGCTTTGAATTGATTTTTGCTAAAAGTTTGACATTTTGTGACATTGTTAGAATATTTTTGAAGAAATATTTCAGCATTTTGATTTATCTCTTGTGGAAAGAATAAATATTTGTTAACTTTTTAACGTTAACCGTGCTTATTCCAGCCCTTTGTATTCAGTATGTCTATATCAAAACCAAGTGGTAGTAAAATTAAACGAAAAAATCGCTGACGAACATAGAATATTCCAAGTAAAAAATAGGGAATTAGAATATTTTGCTGTGAAATAAAAGATAAAATAATCTGCTTGATATGTAATAATACTATTAATGTACCAAAGTTATATAATATTAAATGTCATTACGAACTAACACAAATCGAAATATAAACAATTACGAAAGGATTAATGAGAGAAGAAAAGTTGAAAAAGAGCTCAAGTTAGGAGTGAAAAAGCAACAGTCATGTTTAGTAAAGTATTGCAAGAAAGTGAAGCGGCGGTACATGCAAGCTACGTCTTGTCCGAGTTGATAGCTAAAACATTCGAAGCCTTTTACTGACGGTGATTTCATCAAGGAATGCCTAATGAAAGCTGGAGAAATTGTTTGTCCTGGAAATGTGAAGGCTTTTCAATCAATTTCATTGTCTCGAAATACAGTTGCGGAAAGAGTTACTGATTTAGCCGTGAATTTAAGTGATCAGATCAAAGCAAAATCATCTAGTTTCGAAAGTTTCTCCATTGCCTGTGACGAGAGCACGGACATTAGTGGCAAAGCTCAATTAGCAGTGTTTCTTCGTTCTTGTGACAAGAATTTTAACATTTTTGAGGAATTACTGGAACTAATACCGATGCCTGGTACTGCCACAGGAGAAGATGTATTTACTTGGGTTTTTGGACTTGTGCAGAAATACAATCTACCTTTGGCAAAATTAAATTATGTAGCTACAGATGGCGCTCCATCAATGACCAGGAAAAACAAGGGCTTCGTAGCATTACTAAGAAAAAAACTTAGTGAAATTCACGGTTCAAACATTCATCATATTCATTGTATTATACATCAAGAAGTTCTATGCACGAAAGTAATAAATATGGAGATGTTTTGTCATATATAAAAAAAGTTATAAATTTTATAAGATCTCAAGGTTTAAATCCGCATCAATTCACTGCTTTCTTAAGTGAGTTAGATAGTGAATATTCGGGTTTGTCCTACTATACCGAGGTACGTTGGTTATCTTGCTCCAAGATTCTCAAACAATTCTGGGATTTGAAAGAAAAAATATGTCAGTTTTTAAAAACGAAAAATCAAGATGTAAGTTTTACGATCCAATATGGATACAAGATTTATCTTTCTTGGTTGATATAACCAAACACTAACCGATTTAAATTTATCGTTACAAGGAAAAGATCATATCATTACGAACATGTTTGACATAATTAAAGCATTCAAATGTCAACTAGTTCTTTGGGAAAACAACTGAAAAATGAACATTTGACGCACTTCCCGACGTGCAGCATGAACAAATTAAGTTTAGATGATACTTGTTCGTATCAAAAATACGCAGAAAAAATTGCAAATTTAACAACTGAATTTGAAACGAGGTTTAATGATTTTAGTTCCCTCGAAGACAAATTTTTTTTGTTTTCTTCGATTTTCTCAATAAGTATTGACTCAGTACCCAGCCATATGCAAATGGAGGTGATCGAGATTCAATGAAACTCAAATTTGAAAGCAAATTTCATTGAAGTGGGCGTGCCTGAATTTTACAAATATTTACCAGCTAGGGTTTGAAAATACTCGAAAATTTGCATATGAAATTATTTCCATATTTGGTAGCACTTGTCGGTGCGAGCAGTTATTTTCAGTCATGAAAGGTAATAAGTCTCCTATTAGAAACCGTATTAATGATGCTCACCTTGGGTCAGCATTGAAAGTTATCACTGCAAACAAAATTTCTTCCGAAATAGGAAAGATAATAAATAGCAGAGAAGAGATGTCAAGTATCAGGACATAAACATTAAATTTTTCTTGTTCTTTTCTATATAAATATATACATATGTTTATTATTGTATTATTCAAAATAAATCTATGTTTCTATGAATATTGATTTTTTTTTTTTTTTTTTTTTTTTTTTTTTTGCGGCCCACCTAAAGTTAAACCTTGTTTGTTTGGCCCAAGTGTACCTATGAGTTTGACATCCCTGTAGTAGGCAGTCTGGTCAGTGGTGGCCAAGATCAATAATTATACCTGAAAGTTGTTTTCTGTCATTGTTTTAAAAAAAAATGAAGAAATTGTAAGAGATTTTCAGACTGCCACAGAAATTCAAATTAGCTGTTATACTGGTGCATCAAGACTTGGAAATTTAAACGAATGGTTTGTATTCGACGTGACCACATAGAACTAACTCTGAACCTGTTTAAGGTGGTATCATTGTTGTGTTCAACATTTTAATTGTACTGTTTACTGATGAGTTCAGGTAATGATAATGTCTAGAATTATTTTGATCTAGAGCAGAGTTTCTTAAACTGTGGGTTGTGGCACCCATGGGGTTTGCGGGACATAAAGCAGGGAGGTTGGCAAAAATTTTAGCAATTTTGGTATTTCTTTGACTTATTACAATAATTTTCCAATTACCAAATATTCTTATACAATGTATCTGAAAATAGATAAAGATTAGACAATACAGACAAAGAAAAAATGAAAATATTTTGACGCGTTCTTTTTATAATATAAGCACTCATTTTACTTGCTTTGCACTTGACACTGTCATTTTGTCTGTTACTTATTTAAAATTTGCACATTGTTTTCTTAAAATTAGAAATTAAAGTTAATGACCTAAAACTGCAATAGTAGTTTATTGCAGTACAAGTAAAAAAATTGACAGTTTCACTCATGCGTGTGTCGGATTTGCACAATGCTTATGGGGTCTCACAAAATTTTTGTAAATATTACGGTGTCCTGGGGTCGCGAAAATAATCTCGGTGATAAAAAGGGGTCGCGACTGAAAAAAGCTTAAGAAGCCCTGATATAGAGGAAGTAAAGAACGTGGAACTTGTCTTCCCTTTTTCATGAAAATATCGTTTCCATGAAAACAATGTAATGGTTTGGGATATTTTAAAAAATGGTCATATCTTGCTGTATTTCTTTGATGGAGATTCTGTAAGTAGCCATTAATGTGTGAGGTAGGTATTGGATACCCCATATAAAATTGTTTAGGTATGTCCTGATGGCCCATATTTTTTGTTAATGGATGACATTGCAAATCTATAGTGTAAGAATACTTGGAAGCAGAAGATCACGCCTCAAATAGATTGGTCAGCTTATTCACAAAAGTAAAAATTCATTGACCATTGCAGAATGTCTGAGACTGCCAAATTGCAGCATCCCAAATGCATCCCTGATTCTCTTGGGATCTGAAAAGATAATTTTGAAAAGAACGGTGTGCAATTCTACGGGGTTTGACCAGCTGTTTATTAAATTCTGTAAAATCACAAGATGTGAGGTTTTCATATCTGTCAGAAATGACTATACTTGATGTGAAAGTATTTATTGCAAAACAGCACAGATATTTATCCATAATTTATAAATTTCCATAAATTCGACATTAAATTATATATTTTGAGATTAATCAACCAGCAGATGTGGTACTTCCTGAACTAACGCTTTTGTACTAATTGTTTTTGATTATTCTCCTATAAACAACAGTCAAGCTGTATTTCTGTCAGTACTCTTTAATTTTGATGAGAAGTGTCACTTTAGGATTTGATCTAACTAAACATTTGCAAAGCTCCCTCTTATGGTGTAGACTTCTCTGCATAATGTATATGTGTATATAGTATATATATATATATATTTACTAAAGAAATATATATATCTATATATATGTATATGTATGTATTTACTAAAGAAATATTGATTATATTCATATATATATATTACACAATATATATATATATATATAAACACATGCAACATAGCTCTTTTACCAATATATTAAATTTTGAAATCCAAAGGTAATAAGTATAGTTCATTCAAACTTATTTCTTTGTTACAGTATTACAAACTGTTTATAAACGAAGAGCACTGAAAGCTGCTGGTGCTGTCATTTCAACGCCAAATAAAGGAACAAAAACAAAACTTGGAGATCTTGCAAATGGTACAAAAGTTTACTTTTTGATATTATTTCACTATCAATAGATGAGAATTGCTTATTTAGAATTGTAGTAATAGTGATTAAAATATGTAAGAACATAATCAATAACATAAAGTTTGCTTTTTTAGTGAAATTCTTGGTTGTTACTGCTAATTATAATGATCTGAGTGTTCTGCATCATCTGATTTTTATGGCGGAAGCTAATGTGAGTATTTAAGTTTTTACTAGACTTGTATTGGTGTTTGATGATTTTTAAGAGTTTTAATAAAAAAAAAAGTTACTTTTTTCCATAGAAAGCAAAAATTAGAAAAAACATACTTGATTTTGATGGATTTGGATTCAATGAAGATTCTAAAAAATATAAACAAAGAATGGACTTCTTGAATAGGTAAATTTTTTAAGAAATGTGTGTTGTTTATTTCACAATGAGTTAACATAAATTATTATTATGTTTCCAGTGTTATATAATAATGGAAATGTAGCCATTTAACTGTTCAGTTTGTACACCAAAGAAAGTTTTCCTGAAATCTGAATCTGAAGTTTCATTTGGGGGGGATACTTTATTGTTTTAATATTGATTCAAAAATTATTTTGATATTAAAAAAAAAGATTTCTATGCACACCAAAGTTTGTGCAAGAGTTTAAGCACTATTTTATATCCCCCCCCCAAAAAAAATTAGATATCCAGATACTTTGCTAGATATATAATGCCAATCTTCCTTAGTGCAGTTTAAAGTGCCACATAGATATTTTAACATAACTTTATAATTTTAACTTTAAGTTTCGGCTTTTTATATTTTTTTTTTATCAAAAAGAAGTTTTATATATCTCCCTTCTGCCTAAAACTTTATGGTTAGATGCAAAAATATAGTAATTTGTTATCAAAATTGAAAAGTGCTAAGGATAGGTTAAAAAAGTCAATTAGCAAACAATAATTTTTATTTTGTTTGATACACACAGATGATATTTCTGGTTGTAACAAAAGATTTCCACCAAAATACGTTCTTAATGAAGTTAGACGGGGGCGAAGAACATGAAAGCAGTACCTAGCGTGAGTAATAATCACCACCCAAATATATGACTTTCAGCTAACATTTTCGCAGTTTTTCAAATCCTTCGGCACAGAAACTTGGTGGCTGCGAGTCCAAAAACATATCAACCTCATTTTGTTCATCCTGTATAGAAGAAGTTTATGCTATGCATAGCCCAACTGATGGACATGGCACAAAAAAAAAAAAAAAAAAAAAAAAAAAAATTTAAAGCCAAAAAAAATTTTTTTTTAAATGTGTAAACATATAAAAGATTTAATTCTCGAACTAATCTACAATATCATTTAAATGCAGAAGCATAACCAAATCAAGTGCAAAACCAATCCATGAAAATAAATTCACTAATTTAGCAAATTAAAATTAATTCAAACAATTTTTTAAAAATGCATAAGTGAATGACTGTTGAGCAGGCAGGAGACAGACTTATCAAGGGGAAGTTGCCCCCAAACCTAACTCTCCAATCATTCAATTCGTGTTTCGTTATTTATGCAGGCAAGGGTAAAAGTCAAAACCAAAAGTAAAAAGTGAAGAATGTCCAAAAAGAAATACCAATAAAGTGGTACCCTTAGAAATTAGCATTTAAGAATTAAAGTTCTAAAAGGAAAATACTAATAAAGTCTTTTGAGAAACAAGCAAGTAAAGTCAAGTATTAAATTAAACTTTTTTTTTAAATTAAATTTTTAAAAAACTAATTTTTATAAAAAATAATCTAGAAAACTAATGTATTTAGAAACCCTTGTCTACAGAAACCCTCCGACACGAATATGCATATCAATAAAAGAAACTAAAAAAGAATTAGACATAATCCATATAAACCAATAAGAAACAAAAAGAACTAATTCACAATTTTTAAAAAACAAATATATATACTTAAAAATATAATTTCATATCTAGAAAATACTTAAATACTACATAAAAAAATTTTAAAAAATACTTAAAGCAAGTAAATAGTAAGTTTTAATTCTAACTTACCTACTAAATGAGCGTTGGGGTCTGCAAAAGTGTTTTTAAAGAGAAGTAACAGTGTTCTTCAAATTAATTATATAGATGGCGCTTATGTAGGTAAAGTTGAGTGCCAAGTTGCTATCTTTGTTATATTAAAATTTTTTTGCAAACATTAATATTAAAATATAAATAAATCTATAAAAAAATTAAAAATCCTAAAGGTATGTAATTAAAGTTTTAATTTTAATGAAAAATTATTTAGGGAGTTAAGCCAATCTAGAGAGGTAAGTTTGAAGTAAAATAGAGTTAAATGGTATTGCGAATTAATAAATGTAAACTGTTTGTAATGTGAAATGTGTGTTCTGTTGAAAAATTGTGTAAATATTGCAAGGCAAAAAATTAAAGTAATTAAGTAAAAATGAAATGTTTTAAAGCAAAATTTAAAATTTCCCAAAATTTTTTGAAACGAAGCCCTTAAAAAACCTCTAAAAAAATCTCGACAATTTCCCAAAAATTCCTTAAAGAAGTTAAATTTAAAGAAAGAAAATATTGAAAGTTTAATGAACTTGATTTTAACTGGTATATCAAAACTTAATATTGGCTCTATATATATATACTAGCTGTTACCCTATCTGGCATGTGCTGCAGTGCTACTTAAAGCAAAGGAAGTGTTTGTGTTTTAATTCTGTTTATTGAAGTGCTTTTAAATACATAATATTCTTTGTTTTTCCATCTGGTGCATATGTGAATAAATCAGAAGGTTTTAATTTGTGTGAGCAGGCCACATACAATGTTCACCCATATGCACAAACATGTATCATAGCATTTTGAGTATATTTGTTCATCTGTTATGGATTTCTTGTAAATGTGGTCGTTAATATGACCTTTTTCCAAAATTCATTGAGATTCATATTGCCATCATCAACAACTGCATCACATAAATGAATGCAGTCTTTGGAATGCAACTTGGTTTGATTTAATCAAATGTAGATGAGTCATTTGGTAACGAATTTTAAATACCTATCAACAATGTAGTGATGGAATAATTGTCAACATTTCAATATATGATTTTCTGCAATTTCATGAATCACATATCTGATGTGAATAGTAATTCATGGCACAGACTTTCTTATTTGTTTGCAGATTTCTCAAATCAATGTTGAAATGATATCTATCTTCTCCTTACCGAAATAGTCGGATATTGTAATCCGTTGTTATGAGCAACGAGTTTCTAAACTCACTAAACATCACCATTTCTGTGATGAAGAATTTATATCATGCAAGCGAAATTCTTTGCCTACCATAACGAATGCCACTCGTTATGGTAGGCAAAGAATTAGTTTTTGGTCATTGTACTGTCTTTTGTGTTGGCCCACAGGTGTTTTTACTGTTGTAGCTACAACTCTGTAGTTATCAGCTGGTATATGCTCAAGGGCTATTTTGAACAATTGAGTTAATTTGTTCTGTTGATCAAATAAAGTTTGTAAATGCAGCAACAATTTTTCATTTAGTAACCATATTCAATTGGCAACGTTGAGTGATTTGTTCATCTGTGTTTCCCATGAAATAAGTTTGAAGAAATTTGTGATCAGTGTTCAGTAGTGGTAGTAGTGATCTAACATGATGATAAATTTGCACTTGCACTCTAAAATGTTGGCATGTAATTCTTGTTGTATATTTTATACCTCTGAATGTCAGGAGATGCAATGATTAATGTGATTTCTTTTTCTTTATTAGCTTGTGTTCGCCTTTCAGAGCATTAAATGACGCCATCTATGTTTTGGGCAATCTGCCAACTTTAAGCTTTGAACTTCAGTTATAGAGTTGTAGTAATGTTGATCACTGCTGTATTGTGATTGCTTACCTTTTCCATTCTCCTAATAAATGCTGTTATCCTTGCGATGAAGGTATAATTCAATTTACTTATATATATATAAAAATTCTCGTGCAGAGTGTTTGTCAAACCAAACGATGCCTTTTAGAAACATGACAATTGAAACATTTCTTGGCAAGCATACTTGTGTATGTTTGCCAAGAAATATTTCAGTTGGTTTGTGTCACCTGATACCAATGTTGATAATGGTTTAGAATTTAGATGGTGAATTTAACTTTGGTAATTTCTTATTTCAACCCATACAGCTTAGTCCTGGTACTCCATTCTTAGATTTGAGGGCTCTGCAATACATGCATACTTTATCCATCATTTCAGTGATCACATAAAATGATAATTAACATCCTAATGGAACGAACCAAGATTTAAAATCAGCATGCAGTGTTCATCTGGATTGAACAGTGTGTATGTAAGTGTTTTCCAGTCTTGCTTTTCCCATTGCTCGTCTGTTTCTGTTGACATTGTTTTGAAAGTCATGTGTGTCAAGTTTCACAAGGATCGGAATTAAACTGTAGATTTGTATAAAAGACAAACAAATAAACATTAATTTATAATATATGTAATTAAATTATATGAGATGCCAAAATTATAACCTACTAAAATATTACAAAAACGCAAAAGAAAAAGTTGACAACCAGTAAAAATAAATTTAAAACTTAAGCAAGAATATGGTAGTCTAGACCAAATGGCCAAGATATATTTATACAGTCAAAAGTCGTTAATTCAGACACCCATAATCCGGACCTCAAAGCTACAAACTTTCTGTGCATGCGTCAAACAGACGCATGGCCATTTATGTGTGTGCGTAAGACCTTTACGGCTACGAATATGCATGTGCACGTGCACATAAAACGTTCACGCATGCACGTTTAATGTATAACGCACGGTATAAGCTAAGCTAAAATTATCTAATTCAGTTAATGTTGCAGATTGTGTTGTTCCTTAATCTTCGAATTTGATCCGGCTTATTATTTTTTGCAGACTGTTAGAGAAGTTTTATAAAAGTAAGCTTGAACTTTTGATTATACCAAATAGAATTTCCGATATATATTTGCTAATATGTAAAGGATCTAAAGTGAAAGTATGTTTTGAAATCTGAAATCTCTTTATCAATTTCATGCTGCTCGGTGGGGGGGGAACGCCGCGGCGCGCAATGAATTGGAAGTTGATCTGTCAGCACTATCCTTATCCTCAGGGCAGATGTTTTTATTTTATTTGGCTTATAATTCCTTACTAAATGTAGTATTTCATCTTGATGTACTCCGTCTTTGATATGATTTAAAACAAGTTCCTCGTCGTCATAATTCGCTTCCGATAGTGAAGAAAGTAACAGAGAATATTATTGAAAACGAAAAAATTTCGATTGACAAATCAGTCGGTATTCTCGACACAGCAATTATATTACTTGAACAGCGGAACTTTGTAACTAAACAAGAAATTATGTCTGTTTACAGAATTTAAGAGAAAGTATTATCACATGAAACGAAGCAAGTTAAACAACTTACATTGAAAGAAATGTTTAATAAAGTAAACAAATAAATATTAATCTTTTTCTTTTTGTAAATTTTTATACCCTTTAGATCATAATTGTTCTTTATTTCATATTTTTAATTTTGTAATTTCTGCTTGCCATCTTACCAGATTTAAACTGATGATCTATAATCCGGAAAAATCGATAATCTGGAATGGCCGAAGTCACGACGAGTCCGGATTAATGACTTTTGACTGTATATGTATATATATTTATACACACACTTACACAGTGTGATTCACTTCCACAAGAGAGCTGGGTTACTCAAAGATCAGTCAGGATCTCATTGCAGTAGAGAGTGGGAAATGCCATTGTCTGTTGTCTTGTGCAAGTATGCAGAGAGCTGAAATAAATAAATAAAAGTGGAACACATAAGTGGAGAATATTATTTTGTTCATCAATATGTAACAACTGTGATATTAAGAGGGATCACATGATGTGTTCGAAGTTCTAGCCACCAGCTAATCTGGAATTGCATATGTTTTGAAATATTCTGGGAGTTATTTTGGAGAGCTGTGGCAGCTTCAGAGATGCATGCAACAAAATTGTCTTCACTGTCCTTAGGGTGTATTGCTCACCATACCTTTCATATTACCCGAGGGAAAAGAAAAGCAATCACTCAAGTGCAACAAATGGAAGGACTACCACACCTGATACAAATGTTGCAGGGGTTCTTCATGTTGGAACCACATAATATAGCACAGCAACTCTTGTATTCATTAGTCAATTAACAGTTCAGGCAAAACATCCTTAAACTAAATCTTATAACACCATCCATCTGAATGAACAGGCAGAAGATATGAGCTTATTAAGCTGCCTCTCAAAATTCCATCTGCACTGCCCATATATGTTAGTTATGTGCTTTGAAGCAACTTTTCCTGGTGAAATATACCTTGTCTGTGAATAAGGCAGAAGGCAGTGGAAGGAGATTCACCACACTGTCTTGCACATGCCACTAAGCAAAAGGAATCTTCTACGACTAATCATTAGACTGCATTACCTATACAACTGCTCATGATATGAGAACAATTGGTTCAAGTTCAAGATTCTCCAGGCTATTGTTTGGAAAAGTCTGAAGAAAGTATGAGTACTATAGTAGTACCTGAAACATCTGTGGTTGCCATTCATTTAAATATCTGACATTTCTGTTGTAATTATTGCTAAATTTAAAATGGTCTAGAAACATAAAAAATGTATAATATTTAATGGTTTAAAATATTAGCAGAGCTTTGTTTATTGCTGGACTTGATATAATTCAGAGCAATATGATCATGCAATTTGCATTGCGATTATCAGATGCAAAGAATACAAAGATCAAAATTAGTATTAAAAGAAAAATAAAAATGTTTTTTGTGAAATTTTTAAATTGTATTTATTTATTTACTTATTTATTCCTAGAGAAAAATTTTTGTGACTTACATTTTTGAAACTTGTTTTTAACACCACTTATTAAATTATGAAATATAGATGTAAGTATTTAATGAATTTTTTTATCCTAATTTCAGACTCGGATATGATATTTCAAAAAGGATAGCTTTCCTTTTAGGTCTTTGCCCTTTTCAGACAGACATTCCACAACAAGACTTGAATGAACTGATAATGTATTTTCTCATGTCTCCATGTATTACAAAACGTAAGTAAAAATGAATCTGTTCTTTAGCTTATTAAAATATTTCTTATTGCAAAATATGTCTGTGTAAAAATATTTTAAAATTATGTGACTTGCTTTGTATAAAGAAGCTTAGCAATTTAAAATATCCTTCTAAAAGAATATTTTAAGGTAAGTATCACAACAAAATCAGCTTCATCATCAGTGACTGTTAGGAAGTTTGGCAACATATACAGGATGATAAAATAATGATATTTTTTGCCATTTATTAATGAGTAGAAAGGTTTATCAAATGCAGAGAAGAAAATAGGAGTTAAGATGTATCTAATTTCTAATTACTGCAGAAATAACGTCCATAACTAAACCTAAGTGGTGGAGTGCAACTTGTTTAATCCAAAATGTTTATTTAAGTTGGTCATTGATTAAACAGTAGTGCTTCTTTTTTTGTTTATGGGTTAAAATAAAGCCAGATTGTTTTAGGAATAAGTCAATATTTTTCATTAATTTCATAGCGAATCTGGCCAATATTAATATTGATAATTTAGTTTAGGATTTAAAAATCTTGAAATTTAATTGTTAAGTCCAAATATTAAAAAAAAAAAGTTAAAGGATTCTTGAGAAATCTATAAATTAACGCAATCACGATACTTTTTTATAAATTATGCTAACTGAATTTTATATTACATTCTATTTATTAGTGAATTTATATAATTTACTTGATTATAATTTCAAAATGACCTTCCCACTTTGTATTTAGATTCTTTTCTTCCAATATGTTTATTTTTTAATTGTGTTCATACACTTCAAGATATGTATCTGTGTACATAAAGGGAACATGACAAATATTTTTAACATATAGGGTCTGGCTGCTTAAAGGTTAATGCTTTAAAAAATAGCAATTAAAAACAAGAATTTATGATTTTAGAACAAAGTAATTATTTCTAATTGTTAACAACATAAATTTTATATAGCATATATGCTTTATTTTAGGTATGAAAGATAGTCATCTTAATACCACAGTTTGCTGTTAGACTCTTAATTCCTTGACATATAATGAACTCATACTGGTAAATTAATCCTGTTGCATTAATCATTTTCCTTGTGTAATGCAGCTGAGCATTGTTAAAGAGGGTTTATTTGTTATTTTTTGTATAATTGGTTATGTAAGGTAATTAATACAGCAGTGGAAGTTGAATAGTTAAAATCTGTTGTAACGCTAAGAAGAAATGACATAAAATCTGTCTTCAGTAAAATTATAAGACCAAAAAAAGTATTCTGTTGGGCACAGTTTATTTAGTTAAAGGTATACTCAGAAATGAAGTCACTAAAATAAATAAATAAATAAATAAAAAAGCCATTTCAGTAACCATTCTTATGCTTTAGCTTTGTCAGTACTTGAAATATAGTTTTGAGTTTTCTTTTACTTATTGATGTAATTGTAATTACAAGATGAATATAAAATTGTTTTTTAGACTTATTGAAGAATTTAATTCCGTTATAGATTAATTTATTTTTAGTTAATATTAAACTTGTGTTTTTGCTGTTCAGTAGTAGTTAAAAAATAACTCTATCAAGAAATTTTAGTAATGTGTAAAGTCATTGTTCAGTCATTTTTTAAATGTTCGAAAATTGAAGTAAATGAACTGTTTTAGTAATGGTTATTGTATATGTAAAATTGCTAATTTTCAAAGCTTGGAAAAGAAGTAACTTTGTTACACTTTACTGTTAGTTACTATTTAAAACTTCTCTCTCTTCAGAAGTTCCTATAACTCAGTTGCCACAAACCTTCTTTAGACAAGAATTGCCAAAAGAATTAGTAAGTGCCATTAAATTTTAATTTTTTTTAAACTTGTACAATATTGTAAAATTAATAGATATTTTATGTTAATGTTTTCTTTAACCAAAATATTTAATTTTTGTAATTATTTTAGCTCAATAACCCTGATAATTTTCCTGGCATAGTTTTTTTTATTCCTATATGTACAGGTTGATTCCAAATTGCTTTTACAAATTAAGAGGGGTGATAGTACTCATCCAGATGAGCAATAATCACTATAGACCATAGGGTCACATTCTAATCTGAGAGGCATAAAAGAGAAGAATATTAGAATTGCAATCTGAACTTAAAACAGTGTTAGAAGAGCGAACGAACGAGACCAAATGTTGCACAATCAGGTTAGTGACAAACTCACAGAGAGTGCACAAAGCCGAAAACTATGTGTTCGAGTGTTAATTAGAGCTGAGACTTTGATGGCTAACACTCAAATGCACATCTTTGATTGGCAAGGTTTCAACCTCGCAAATGATTGCAACAAGTTAATTATCTAAATTATTAGGGGGGAAAACTACCTTGATATCAAGTATGAAGGTAGCAATTGTTTTTCTCTTAGCCATATTCTATCCTGTCTTCCTGGACTTGCTCTGCTGCGCTAATTCTACTTGAAGCGCCCTTCAATGGAACACAAAGTTCTGACAGCCAGAATGACCTTTTCATGCTAATCTTGGCATGCAGCAGACGTTGGAGTTAGTTGATAATATTCAGCTCTTGATTACATGATTAACTTGTTACAATCATTTGCGAGGTTGAGACTTTGCCAACCAAAGATGTGCATTTGAGTGTTTGCCATCAAAGTCTGAGCTCGAATTAACACTTGAACACCAAGTTTTCGGTTTTATCTGTTTTGTGCGCTCTCTGTGAGTTTGTTACTAAACTGATTGTGCAACATTTGGTCTCATTCATTTACTATCCCAACACTGTTGTAAGTTCAGATTGGAATTCTAATATTCTTCTTTTCCGCGTCTCAGAGTAACCCTATGTTCTATGGTAATTATGGCTCATCTGGTTGAGTAAAATCACCTCTCTTAACTTGTAAAGTAATTTAGAACCACCCTCTATATTACTAATAAAATCTTCAGAAAAATGTTTTCACTTTTTTACTTAATATTGTTATATAAAACTAGTGAACAATAAAATTGTCATTAACCCTGTTAAATATATTGTAAACTCAAATTCAAAAAAAAGCTCTTTTCTGTGATACTCATTTTTAATTGTACTTTGTTAATTTAGAAATTCTGTAAATTTTAATAATGTGTAATTTTTCAGAAAATGTTTTATCATATGTGGTCTTTTTTTAATAATGAATTTTCCCACCCACCCCTCGTATTTTGGTATGTAGCCTGAGAAAGTAGATAAATATATTCTTTCTTCCATTTTAAAATTCCAAACTGTATTCTTTTCACATTTAAATTTGCTGGCATTTCCTAAATTATTCATAGATGTGATCTCAAAAATCTAATTTTTTAGTTTGGCAAGTTAGCATGTGTCTCTATATACAGTTTGTTCAAATTATAGTTTGGGTTAATATTGAAAATTATGAAAATCTTAATAATTACTAATCTTTGAGAAAAATGGGGAAAATGGAAAGTGATAGTGGTAGCAACTGTACAGAACAACCGTAGCACAGATTCACTTCTACACTCTTTAGTGTTGTCTGTAGCATTGTTCATGATCATTTTCCATCAGTGAGATAACATTTTAATCTCATCAAGAGCTACAGGTTTGTTGATGTCAAGGATAAATCAGGTAACTTGCACATATAATGTTAGGAAACCTGTGGAAGTGAATGACTCATAAGAATTCTGTATTGGCAATAAATTTAGAAGTGTATGTTTAAAGAGTAATGAGTGTGTTAAGCACTTTTTAGTGCCATCTTAGGTATAGTTCACAACATCTTCATGCTACAGGTATTATCATTGAGGATGATAGATGGAGTGGAAAGGAAATGAAACTTTCTTCCACAGATCTAGTGTGCACTGTGAGAAAAGTGCATAATGTGCAGCATTTACAGTTTATTCATTGATTATTTTATGAATAAGTAACATTCCATAAAAGTATGCTTATTCACAATAAACATGCTTTAGTATTTATGAAATTTGCATAGACTTTCTTCAGATTGTGTCCTGCTCATTAGATTGATGTTTTGATTGAACTTCATATAAGCATGCCCGCATTTCATTTTAGACAATAATTTTTCATGTGAATTCATTCACTTTATGATTATGCCATTACAAATGGAGCCTAATCCTTGTGGTGGTTCCAGTCTTCAATCTCCTTCAGCAGAAACTCTATACATGACATGTTTTTTTGCATGTGTAGCTATTCCTTAGAACTCTAATAGCTAAGAATAATTTATAAATAGAGGTTCCATTCACAAGTTCATGAGCAGTCTATCGTGGATCATCTACCAGAAAATCAAACACTTTCATTTCCTGCACATTAAAAAAAAAAAAAAAACTTCCCAGGCTTAGACTTGTTGCCCATGTTCTCATGCCCCAGCATGGAAATTTTCCTGCTTCCATACTAAATGATAATATATCACTGCTACAGACCTCTAAATGATTTCGGTAACATTGCTTTACTGTATGGTCCCTCGCAAATACATTCCTTTTTCTTTAAATCGGATCTGTTTTGTGATATGATCCTTCTATGAAATACATATCAAAAATTAAAATGAGATTAAATTTGTTCAAAATTTAGGTATTATTTACATCTATGTTATTCATAAAATTTCAGTGCATTTACAGTGAAACTAATAAATGAATAATATATATAAACTGAACACATTTCAAATAACTTACTCTAATATATTTCATTGAGCATTACTTATCTTAATTGCTGATAGAAATTCTGTTCTAATGGCAATGTTTATTTTATAATAGTTTATTTGCATTTTTCTATTACGAGTAACAATAATTTGTTTTGGGGAAAAAATAAGAAAATTTTATTATTTTTAGAGCTCAATTTTGCAGAATAATGAAGAGGAAGGTGTATCCAAATCTATTATGGTTATGAAGTCACCAAGTCCAAGCAGTAAAGAGGAAACCTCTGCTAACGTTGGATTAAACATGCCAGGACCTAGCAGTGGTCAAAAAGCAAAAAAATCATTGAGACCATCTGCTGTTACCTTACCTCCAATGAAAAAAAAGGTCTTATCTACTACAGGTTCACAACAAAATATTACACAGAGAAGTCTAATCAAATCTCCAACTAGTAATACAGCACCAACAGTTCAACAACAGTTTTCTAAGTCTTTACTCACTATTGCGAATTCTAGCAACACCCAACCTAGTGTTTCACCATCACTTGCTAATAGAAAAATCCTTATAAAATCACCTCCAGTTATTTCTTCACCACAAGAATATTTTATTCAGCAACAAACTCCTGATGGCCAACAAAAAACATTCAAAGTTATAAGATTTGCACAACCACCTCCAGTAACTTCAGTGTTTACTGCAAGATCTCCTCAACCTCCTGTCAGAATACAAGCACCTACAACTCCAGTAAACATGTCCATTGCTGGTGCTACGCTGCCACCTGGTATAATATTACTTAAAAATAAACCATCTTTGATAGCTCAGCCAGTTCCAAATTTATTGCAGAGTGTTCCTTTTGTAATTAACCAACAAACAAACAGAATAACTGGTTCAGTTGCTGTCTCAAATTCAATAAATGTAGTGCCACCAAGCAGTGAAGAATATGTTTTGCCTGATGAAGTGAATGCAAAATCAAGTAAGTAGTAAAAATGCTTTCCCCCCCTTCTTTATGCCACCTTTCCTTTTCAATATTGTACAATACATGTTTTAAGATTTGCATAATGTATAATTTTAGTAAATAAAATTAACTTTGGTAAAATCGACTTATCCATGGGAAAGAATATGTATACAAAATTATGGGTATTTACATATTTAAATTATTAAATTATGGGCAACCACCTTAGTAGGAGTCACCAAATTTCACTGTGAAATAGATGTACTGTGAAGCATCTATTTCACAGTGCTCTTGACATATGTTCTTTACACTTCACACATATAGTTTTTGATTTTCTGTCTTTTCCCCTTGAGCACATGTAACATCTCCTGTATTATATATATATATATTGGTTCATCAAATCATTTTCTGTAGGAAATTAGCCAATTCATAACTGGTATACCAATTGTCTGTGGTAGTGTTTCTTCCAGATTTGTATAACAGAGTCAGGATGCACTTTACTATTTCACTAGAACTGCTGACTTTCTTGTACGGCCCATCTGGTTGCTGACATGCATAAATTTCCATGTTGAATGCATAGAAGGTTCTAGAATCAACCATAGCAAATATCTTTATACCATATCTTGCAAGTTTCTTAGGTATATACTGCCAAAGGAAGCATCGTCCTCAAAAAGGTTCTAGCTTTTCATTCAAAGTCGTATATTCCCCTACATGATATAATTTCTGTCAATTCTTGGCAAAATTTTCAAATAAATCTCATATTGTTTCTAATTTTTATCCTTTCCTGTAAAATACTCTGTTTGATCACAAGCAACGTCTTCTGAAGAATCGCACTCTTCTGTTTCAGACTCATGATCAGTAAATATATCTTCATTATCTGAATCTTCTAATGTCTTCTATAGAATCTTCATCCAACGAAACCCCTTCTGATAATTCTTGAAGTCTTTTCATTTCTTGATCATACGTCAAATGAGGAAAAGACCAAACAGGGCGACTTGCACACGCCACGGCTCACACTGAAAAATTGTAACATAAAAGCGTGTGTGGGGTGTCAGCACGCCCCAAACTATTATTTAAACAACAATAAGTGCTCGGATTTTGCCGTTTCCTCTCGAGACGTATAGAACATGTCCTTGAAGGCAGCTACTGATGCACCTAAGCATTTTGGATTATAGGGAGAGATTGTCAGTGAATTTTTTTAAGACACCCCACTTGTATCTTCCCAGGTAAAATACCTAGATTTAAAATGTGAGATTGCGGAATTTGACAGCTATGGATGAAACTTTGATAACATTTCTGCATTAACACAGAATATTGCCACAAATTCTCTCCATGGAGCAACGAAGAAATGCACTTGGTAGATTGCCTAGGTTTGCATGATAAGTCTCTGCAATTCTCTGATTTTTTTGTAAGCAAAAACAGATCACTGTGCAATTGAGAAAACGAATATCACAAAAAAATTACAGAATGCTTTGGAGACATTTGTGTTTTATTTAGGTTTATTTATTTATTTATTTTTAAAAATTTTTCATTTATTTATTTTTTTATTTATGTGTCACAAAATTCTTGTTTAACAGCTAAAATTTGTATTTGAATTTGCTAAAATATGCTGACTTTTCATATGTTGATAATGTTTATCAACTTAGATAAATATCAACAGTTAGGGAATCTTTTGAAAAAATATCACAAAAATCACCAACCCAATAAGTAGCATTTGATTTTCATCTTTAAGAAATTGGCAAATTACACCAAGGGGTTGTGTTAATATGTAAGTACAAAATTATGATATTGTATAAAAATGTTTTGTATTTATATCAGTTTGATACTAAGAACTCAAAGCATCATTAAAAGAAAATATTGTCTTCCAAATTTTTTATTTGAGTCTTTCATGAAGACTGCTTTCACATAGCCATCAAGTGCATTGCCATAATAAAACCAATTAGGTTAGTTGGTTATTGCAAGATCAGGGTTGTCTTTAGAAAAAAATCTGATGTGTACACCACATGACTTCCTTGTACGGAATATTAAATTATACGCATTTTTTCTTGCATTTTATTTAAACTTATTAGATTGAATTAAACCTACTTCGCCGACAGTGCACAAACCACAATAGAATAAATGCATTCTTTAAAATTCACTTTGTTTACCATAGCGACACTCTGGCACTAGGTTTACTTAACAATATTATATTCATTCATATTATAACTCAGAATGCACAAAATGTATATCATTTGAAGAATTATCTAATCGTTGCCACATGGTCTATTCAAATACTATAATAAAGCTAGAACTATGTATAAAAGAAATTAAGCAAACAAAACAAAAAAGAAACAGTTTTTCACAGACGATTGAGTATTTCTCATTTAATTAATTCAGTTCTCACTTCGCGAGAAGGCAAAAATACAAAAAAACTTAAGATATCTGTATCGAAAATTCTGAAGTAAATCTCGAAACACTTATTTCCTCGAAAAAATTCCAAGAAAGGATTAAACATGATTTAATTCGCAAGAATAACTGAATGGAGTTATCTTTGTTATTGCGAAGCTTAGTTCTCTAGATTGGCAACAAATCCTACTATTCTCCTGTTGTTACAAATGTAAACAAACAATTGCCCGCCATTGCAAAACATAATTAGGCTTAGCGGCAATTAAACAACTTTAAAAATTGCTGATAATTCTAAAAATATTGCACACAGATTTACTAAAGGCATAAATCCTTAACCAGAAGATAAAAACAACACAATTCAATCATTTTTAAAGCAAAAAATGTACAATTTACAAACATATAAGAGTAAAGAAACTGAGATCACTGAGCCGGGTAATAGAGTGGATATATTTATAAATATATTTATATACGTTTGGTGCGGCCAATTGCAACCAAAATACGAGGTGCACATCTACATGTTATAGCAGCCCTACATACAAAATTTCAACGTTCTGAGGCTACTCGTTTTTGAGTTATGTGAGATACGTGCGTACGCACGTACGTACATACGTTCGTACAGACGCCACGAAAAATTCTCTTCAGAATTAATTTTAAAGCAGTTTTATAATTTTTTTTTTTTTTTTTGAAGGAAAAGAGTATTTTATTCTGTCCTTACGTACAGATATCATGCAAAAACATCGTTAAATTGCATTCGATAGTGGTCAAAATGGATATTTTCGTTGAAATATGCTGCCTGAAACTTTTCACGATTACAATACTTCCTTTTTACTTCGTACAAGAAAGTAAAAAAAAAACCCTCAATTTTTGTTTTGTTTTCTTAATTATTGTAGTGTTTTAAAGATACGTTATGTAGAATTTTAAATATCTTGTTGTACAAATTCTCTCAAGAATAGTACAGTCAAAAGTCTTTAATCCGGACTCGTCGAGACTTTGGCGATTCTGGATTATAGATCATCAGTTTAAATCTGGTAAGATGGCATGCAGAAATTGTAAAATTAAAAATATGAAACCGTAATTTATAAAATAATGAGCAATTATGATCTAAAGGGTATCAAAATTTACAAAAAAAAAAGGCTTAATATTTATTTGTTTACTTTATTAAACATTTCTTTCAACGCGTGCATGCGTAAAGCATACATTATGCATAGCCGAAATCAGAAAATTGCAACCAGAAAACTATTTGATTTGTATTCGTGATATTTATAACGACGAGGAATTTGATTTAAATCATATCAAATACGAAGTACATCGAGATGAAATACTACATTTAATAAGGAATTATAAGCCGAATAAAATAAAAACATCTGCCCTGAAGATAACGATAGTGTTGACAGATCAACTTCCAGTTCATTGCGCGCCGCCACGTCCCCCCCCCCCCGCGCAGAGCAGCATGAAATTGATAAACAGATTTCAGAACGGTTAGATAAACAAAGGATATGCTTTTATCCATTTTGGAGCAATTCCACTTTTTGTTTGGTGGACATCGAAACATACTTTCGTTTTCGTAGATCCTTTGGGAGCTCCAGCATCGGAAATTCTATTTGACATAATTGAAAGTTCAAGCTTACTTTTATAAAATTGCTCTTACAGTCTGCAAAAAAATAATAAGCCGGATCCGATTCGAAGATTAAGGAACAACGCAATCATCAACATTAACTGAAATAGACAATTAGATAATTTTAGCTTATACTGTGCGTTATACATTAAACGCGCAGCGAAAAAGTATTCTGCGCTTGTGCACACGCAAATGCGCAGTCGTAAAGGTCTTACGCACACGCTTAAACGCCTATGCGCATGCGTCAAAGCGGCGCATGCGCAGAAAGTTTTTAGCTTTGAGGTTAGGATTATAGATTATTCCGGATTATGGGTGTCCGAATTAACGACTTTTGACTGTAATACATTTGCCATCTTGTAAGACCCCACGACTTTGCTGATATATTAAGATGACACTAAACAGGATTGAAAATTTCATTAAATCATTTATCAAAAGCTCCTAAGCTTCAAAGTGAGATAGATGTCTCCACACTAATGCAGCAATTTACAAGTTATAAATCATAGTTTAAATTAAGTATATTATAATACAAATTTGAAACATGCTTTAAATAATGTAGAATCAAATGAATTTGTTATTGCATTATGCTGTAATAAATTCATTTCATATTGTATTTTTATTGTGTTGCTGAAGCATAGTTATGATAGCATTCATTTTTTAATAATTTGCATAGGTGCTATTAATTGGAATGAAGAAGATGTGGAGGTGTTGCATCCTTTAGAAGACAATCCCCCTACTGTAAGTTTTCTTACCACGAAATCTTTTGTGTAATAAATATTTTAGTTTACTCAAAATTTATGTATATTATTATTCTTTTTTTTTTTTTTTTTTTTTTTTTTAACTTTGTTCAGCTGCTTACAATGTTTTGTAGTTGATAAATGTCCTGGACTGACTAATTTCTATTATAAAAGTAAGAAAACAAAACTTCAGTTTGTGGAGATCTTAAAATAATAGATTGAATTTGTTTGTATAAATAGCAGTAATAATGCATAGTAGGAATTCAAAGAATGTTTACTTTTGTTAGTTTAATAAATGTACTAACACTTCATCTGTTCTTGTAATCAAAGGTAATTGGGTTAGTGGTGTTGCCTGTGAGTATTTTATGATTAATTTTCTTGAAAGGTTGTTTTAAACTTCATCTTTAAAATATAGTTCAAAGTTAAAATTCAGTATTTTCCAAAACATAAACATGGTTTGTACAATCCTGAAAAGTATTTAAAAGTCCATAAGTTTTTTTTTTTTTTTTTTCCAAACTATTTTTGGTCCTTAAAAGTCTTTAATTTCAGCCAAAACCGGGAAAAAGTACTTAATTTTACTTGTGATATTTCTGTCTTTTTTTTACTGCCATTTTGAGTGTAAATTAACATTTTGGAGAACTATTTCTTGGCGATGGATTGACAAAATATGTATTTGATAAGTTAACATTTAAAATTTTTTAAATTACGCAGTACTAAATTTGGCGATTTTAAGATCAGTCGATATACAAAATTCTTTATTTGGAGATTTGCTAAATTTTGTTTTCTTGCAGACATAACATTGATAATTATCATAAAAGTAATACTATATTAAAATTATATGTAAAAAAATAACATTGAAATAAAATTTTTTATTTTCTCTTGTCGTATTTTAAAGTGACATTACTTTCCATTTTGGTAACTTGGGAGTATTTTGATTCTTAAAAATAAACAAGATAATAAATGCTATAAAACAGAGTTTCTGAAACACTTCTTAAAAACAAAAATGTTGCTGTATTATTTAAAAATTAATGTCATTTGTCTTCTTTTATATTTTCCATCATGAGAGTTTTTTACCATGTAATTCTTTCAGAATATTTAAATGTGTGTCAGTTTTCTCTTGAAATGTCAGTTTATACAGTTCTCTTTTCTTAATTTTTTTTCCCCTTCAAAAAATCTTCTGGTTTTTTTTTTGCTCTCTTTGCTCTTTGGTAGTTTTTTTTTAATTTTATTTTCTTTTTAGAACTTGTACCTCAGAAGGTCTAAAGGCAGGATTTATAGCTTATTAGTATTTTGACAGCAAGATTTATGGACCTACAATTTCCAGAAAAAAATGTGATGAAATAAAAATTTCTTCGTGGTATTATTAATACATTATAGGAAATTTGTGATGAGTTTCTCATCTTTTGGAGAATTTTTGGAAGAACAGCGGGGGAAAAATAATTGTTTGAATTTTTAGTTTTGATCCCACAAAACTTCCATTTGACATGTTTATCTTTCCTTTATTTTCTCATCTTTCAGCTAAACACAAGCATCAAAGAAAGCAAAGAAACTGAAAACCAATCAGTATTAAAAGATTTGTCATATATGTCTCAGCGCACTATACATACCTTAGTGCCTGCCCTAAATTCTTAAAACTTTTGCCCTAAACTCTGTTGCTTCACTAAATTCTAAAAATTCTGCCACACTGGTTCTGGTGCCGACCTTGACCTTATATCATTTCATATTTATTCTCAATACTAATATTATTAAAGAAATACAATTAGTAGTTTCTTCTGTGCATTCTAAGTACAAGTGATTCTTTAGAATAACAGAAATCTTAAATCAGATCTGAAAATTCTGAAGTGAAGAGGAATTCATTGAAAAAGAAATTGATTTTATAAAGAACATTATCCAAAGGTACATTGTTGAAATATCAAACAAACAAGGAGTTGAAACAAAGACTAGGATAAACATTGACTTGTTTATTGAATTATATAAGCTGAGAACAAAATGTGCTAAAGACAAGGAAAAATGATGTAAATTAGCTAAATATCTGAAAAAATTTTGAATTTAAAAAGACGCATAAACATTTTGTTTGTTGCTGCTATAAAACATAAATGTTTCATAGCTTTTAATGTATAGTTATACTAATATCATTTCAGAATCAACATCATAAATTGTAACTGCTATAAAATGTTCTTAGTGCTTTTTTTAATGGTTATGTTTTAGAAATTTTAAAAATATGTAATTGTAAACATGTAAATCTATTACGACTAATGGTATCTCACAATTTAACTTAATTATTTGTAACTAACAGCTCATCCTTAGACGTTATCTCTACATCTCAAAGTAAGTTATCTCCTTTCCTTAATCCTTATTGTGAATGCAAGATGCAACACAAAAATGTAAAACTAGCATAAAACTTTAATCTTTACAGTTAATGAGACTTAAAATAATGCAAAACCTATCATCTCTAATTTTGTATTCTTAAATATAAGGTATCAACGAAAAATTTAAATGTTTTAAATGTAATGTCGGATAGATCGGATAGATAAGAATGTAATGTGGGATTAATCGGATAGATCAAAACAATTTAAAAAAAAAAGTTCATATGAAATGCTTGATAGTTATGCTCTCTCTTTGTGTACTTTTTTTTTTTTTTTTTGATCAATGAACTAAAAGATGTAAAATAAAATGCATAAAAGAACTTTTAAACTACAACTACACAGTTTCATTAAATGCCCCGAAAAATTAAATATAACGGTCTAAGACTTTTTTTTCTGTTATCACAATATTCTTCTTCATATGTGACAAAAAGTAAAATATTTAAGTTCAAAAAAGAAAGAAATCATTTTGGACATAAGCCGAAATTAAAGGAACAGAGCATAGAAATGACATAAACAAAAATGGTTACATTCACATCGGTTAAATTTTCCTATCACAGTTTCGCTCTTCGTACCACAGTAAACCCGCTCTTCGTACCACGATTTTATTTTTAGACACATATAACCAAGAATGTTATGATAGCTAAAATATTATTATTGTTTTTTAAATGCAGTAAAGAGCATCTATGCTTTCGTATTTCACCTTATTCATACGTTTCTGAAAGCACATAACAAAATTATGCTGTGTTATGACATTTAAAATTATTAATTAATTTCATCTAACTAAACTCCGATTTGTTTCTCAACCGTGTTCCACTACTATAATAGAACTTTCTGTAAAACCATCCATAATTACCCCCATGGAAAAGACAACAGTTACTCAACAAGAGGGAAGTTTTCAGAAGACGCCTCTCCGTGAGAACAGGGCGGGGCGCCCTGGCCCCGAGCAAAGGCGTCGCCCCCTAATGCTGTCGATCACCCCTGGTGCGTGGGTCGCCCGCGGTGTACGCCCAGCGTTCGATGATCGAAGATATTTGATTCCGCAGGATGCCAGAATCTAACGGAAGTGCTCAAGCGGAGAGAAGGGGCGTGATGGGCGCAATCATTTTAAGGTACTGGCCACTCCCTGGCCCGCTGACGATCGGCACTTTGGCGTCACGCGAGTTCTTCTGGTGGACGATGGATGAAATTTGAGTGTTGATTGAAATTTCGTGGAATTTCCTGCCAGTTGTTTACGATGATACTTCATCAGTGGAATGATTCTGACAAGACAGTGATGATATATTGTTATCAGTCAGTGGTCTGATGGCTGTTAGCCCTTCCCAATAGTTTCAATAAGTTGTATTTGGTCACTTCAAAGGAATACTGAGAGACCCGAAAAAGGAGTAAATTTAATGATTTCAGTCCAGCACATTTTGAAGCATGATCCACATCAAATTCAATTGATTAAAGCTATGAAAGCATCAAATTGTCAATCGCTGATAGTGGAAAATCAAACATCTAAGTCTTTCAATGAGAAGCATGAGTTATTTTACTTGCCCCTTTGTCCAATTTTTCCCATATCTGTCCAGTTTCTTTCTGTGAAATATACCAGTAATTTATTCATCTTTCATCTGTTCTAAGTAACCATGCTTTAAATTTCGCAATTAAATAAATTAAGATCCCATGTACCCGATGCAATATACACTAATATAACATCGGATTTTAAGGATTCAGATTAAACTCGAGGCCATAGTTATTTCGTATAAAACTTAGGGACATACAATTTATTACCCATTTTTGTAGTGTTGCAGAGGTATTCTTTAAAAGCAGGAACCATGAAGAATGAACAATGCCCTCGCCCGGACTCGAACCTAGACGCTCGAGTCGAGGAATGCTGATTCGCG